TAATGATTACAAATAAAATTTCTGTTACTGTTTTTGTGCACATACACATTTAACAAAATGACTTTGACAGTTGCCAATTGATTTAAATATTGTCCTCACCATAGGACTCATGGGTTTGAATCCCTTCAGGGGTTCCACAGGAGCATGAGGATGGAAGAAAGTGTCCCCGATCTGAGCATCTTTACTGTTCCTTATTCCACAGGCTACAAAGCCAACTTGGCCAGCAAATCTGATGATAATATGATTATAAATGAACAGCTAGAGTAACCTGATCATGTATACTAAAGGCATCCATGGTCAAGTGTTGATTGATACCCTCAGTCGATACCCCTGATCAACTCTTGATTGATACTTGATCGACAACTCAGTCAACACTTGATTGACATCTCAGTCGACAGTTGGTTGAGAGTCAATTAATTTTTGCAGACATGCCATTGAGTGTTGATCAATACATAAGAGTCAGTCAACACTCAGCTGACTATCCACAGACTGTCGATCAAGTGTGGATCGAGATGTTGATTGAGTGTCAGTTGCATGTTGACTGAGATGTCGATTGAGTGCTGATCAAGAGCATTGATCAACACTTGACACATGATCTCTCATCTGAAAGTTTGTGTCTAAAATAACTCTACATACACAATTTTCTTTCCACAGAATGAATGTGACTTTAAGAGTATTGGTACTACGCATGAATGTGATGCTAGTGCAACACAAACATCAAATTGTCCGAAATAGCTTGATGATATCCATCTGTACTGTGAAATGGCTTAAAAGAAATATGTTTCTTTCCCAAGAAACACAAACTTCTGGCCATTATGACTTAAAATACTAAAACTAAATTTTGCTACAATTAACAATTGACTAAAAACTAGTTATGATGTTGAACTTACAGTGCACCAGTGGAGACTTCTCCAGGGTGCATAATCCCAACATCCAACACCTCGTACTTCTGCTGAGTGTAAGCAGACATAACTTCATCTCCTGCAAGGAAAGGTGAAGAGATAGGTGTGAGGAAAACTGACTGAATAGTAATGTGAAATTTATAGGGCTTGCCATAAATGAATTTTCAAACTTGGCAAAAATTAAAGAAATTCTGCACAAGTTGGCTTGTTTGACTTAGAGCAGTTTAATAGCCTGTTTAGGCCTTCAGATCGTCATGGTCAGTAAGTGTGTAATAAGCCAGTCAGCCAGTCAGTTGGCATACCTGTCAGTCACACAGTCATGGTCAGACAGTGGGTCAGTAAGTTGGTCAGCCAGTCAGTCAGTCAGCCATTCTTGTCAGTCAAGCAGTCATGGATGGACAGTGAGTCAGAAAGCCAGCAAGTTCTAAGTCACTTGGCCAGTCCGTCAATTAGTCTGTTGGTCCAGCAGTCATCATGGTTGGTAATCAGTAAGACAGGGAGTGAGTGAGTCAGCTTGTTGATCAGTTGGTCAGCAATTAACATGCCAGTGCAAATTGTTCTATCAGGTGCTAAACCATTAGTTATAATGATTACACATGATAAAAATCAATTACCAGGAACTTACAACTACATTATTGAACTAGNTTTTTCATTCTTGTACTCACCCAGGAAGTTTCTCAACAATGGTTTTTAGGATATTTTCAACTCCACTACCTGTTTTTGCAGAGATCTACAGTCAAACAGTGAAAGAATAATAAAAATTATTCATTGACTTGAGACAGTGTACTGAATAAGATAACCAAGAGGTCTCGCTGAGGTCAAATATTTACAAGTACAAAAAGGGTCAATATAGTCCTCAGTTAATAAGTAATGTAATACAGAGATGAAATGGTTAAATATTCCTATGATCAGGGACTGGAAAGACATCGTAAACTTCAGACATGTTATTCTGATTGAAAGCTGACTTGACATTTCCTGGTAGCTAACATTTTTAAAGATAAAAAAGAAGGTAAGAAAGCTGGTCGAATGAAGAAACACAAAAAGCAACTTGACCACTTGTTTTAAGTGTAAGTTAATTCTTTCAGGAAAGTAAGCCACAAAGCTCAAAAGAAACTTTCCAGAGTGGTCATGCAGGTTCATTGGGACAATGACTAAGTACTTGTTAGACTAGCAAAATTGTATACTTGTGGATTCTGATTGGTTGGTTCTACAGTGGTTACTGGTTCTCTGAACTAACTTAGTAATGTGCTAAGACCTGATTAAGTCTACATGCAAAAATACTTATTTGGCCATGCATTCAACTCACCCTTAAAATATCATTATTTTTGATATCAAACAGTTTTTCCATTTGGCTTGAAACACCATCAGGATCAGCACTCTTCAGGTCAATCTAAATTGAGCCAAAACAATTAGAATTCTCTAAATTCATGCACTAACTTAAACTAGTCACCCTGATATTATACGGTCGGAAAAACAGGAAAAAATCCTGGCAGTTAAATATCTCCATTCTCCAAGAGGGCAATGGGACTAAAACTCACCCTCAATGGGAATGAACAGAGGCTAGCATTTGCACATGTATTTGAACAAATCAATGGTATGGATGGTATTTTTGGGCAAAGTTTAAGGTATAGTACCAAGTCATAAACATCTGTATAAGAAATATCATGAACGTTATTTACTGGCTGGGAGGTCTGGTAGAGAAAAACTGTGACAGAGGTCTTGAAAATGCCTGCTGAGTCCACAGGCTGAGGGCAGCATTTTTAAGTCTGAGGTCATGGCTTTTCCCTACATGGACTGACCTAAGCCAGTAAATTACATATTAATTAAATTTTTATTTTTCCACTTTCAAATGAATTTTATCATTGTTGACCTTTTTCACACATACACTGAGTTTATGTTACCGTGAAAGTGGTCATAGATAGGGACCTCCAAACCGCTCTTAGACTAATAACCAATCAGATATACAGGATTCATTACCAAGCCTTCTTAGAAAAAAATAAATCAAAGTCACTGTCGTACCTTGTTCAGTACTGGTATGATGTGTAAATCCTTATCAAAGGCCAGAAAAAAGTTGGACACTGTCTGAGCTTGAACACCCTGCATAAAAAACATATGATCATAAAAAAAAAAATTATAAACTAAAGTAATGTTCAATGCATGGACTACCCTTAAAATGCAACTCCCAGAGTATATGTAAGTTCCTACGAATAATAACTTCACTCTATATTTAAGCTTCAGTTAAGTTCAATATAATTATTTAAAATGAATCTACAAAATGAAATGCCGATTTTTAAACCTGTGCTGAGTCGACGAGTAAAATAACACCCTGACAAGCAGCCAGGGACCTGGAAACTTCATAGCTAAAATCCACATGGCCCTAAAAATCAAGAAAATGCACTTTTAAGTACTTTTAACAGATCCCAAAAGATGTACAGTGGAATCCCAAGTTTTCAAATTGCCCAAGAGAACAGAAATTGGTTTAAAAAGTCAAGTCAAGAGTTTAGAACCATCAAGGGTAAATATTTTCTCCTAACTTAGAAAACATTTCCAAATATCAGGAGGTCTGAAAGAAATTAAGAATTCAGAAAATAGGAATTCCACTGGTGTATGGCGAGCCAGTCTGTTATTCAGGAAGTTAGTGTACAATCTGGATAAAAAAGTCCATAGTCCATAGGCTTGGGTAATAAATACACAAATCACTGTATTTTACAAGAAACACAGGAGGGGTTGACACATACAACTGCCTGTCTTGAATTTATACATTAATTAATTAATTAATTAATTAATAGCAATGAAATATTGACTTTAATTTAATTAATTATTTTTCAGGTCTACTGGATTTTTACCTAAGTGACTGCTGCTTTCTATAACAATGAGCATAAACTTGGCCTCTCAGTCTGTTTCTACTCTTCCCAATTGATGATAAAACAGCGATTTTTACACAAACTTTCAAGAATTCCCATTCACATTGTGCACTAACTCTTTGCCTAAAAATAAAATAATCTAACGGCCAAAAATAACATCATAACTGATTGACACTCACTGGTGTATCAATAAGGTTTAATAAATAAGTTTCTCCTTCATGATCATTATAAAACAGTGACGCAGTCTGTGCCTTGACTGTTATTCCTCTTTCCCTTTCCACTTGAAGTTTGTCAAGCACTTGCTTGTTGTCACTGTCTCTTGATATTGTACCTGAGTGGGAAAAAGAAAATATACATATCAAAAAATGACAAACAAGATCAGGGCCATCATTAAAGGGCATAACCCGTAACACCTGTTTACAGCTGAGTATGCTCTATGGGCCCTTGACGCTTCAGGTGAAATTGCTTTTTGTTGATACCATTCACCTATAAGGTAACAAGTTTGTTACAGGAGTGAAGATAAGGGCTACAGGTGAATCAAACTTTAATGACAGCCCGGATTAGATTAATAGAGATATAAGTGAAAAAGAATGCGAGCTGCAGTGCATTGTATATTCAGGAAGTAAGTAAAGCAATGGGTGTATTGTCTAACACTTTTTTCTGAACAATTTAAATATGTATAAGTCTCGAGCAATTAGGGAATGACATACATGTACATTGCAATTATAACAGCTGAAATGTGCATAAGAAATTTGACTGTCTTTTTTTTATTGCTTTTCTATGTAACAAAGTTCAGGCCTGCATAATTATTATTATCTAATGCATTGAAAAAGTCACATATCCTCTGCAATTGAAATATAAGTAAACAATGTGTAAAGCTTCTAAAAGATAAAGAAGTATATAAATTTTCTAAAAAAACACAGTAACAGACTGGAATTAATGAATTCAATATAAGTTCAAACTACTGCCCAAATGCTAATCCCAAAAACTATATATAGATGTTTGATTTCCATAGTTACAGTTTGTTCTAGAATGCAGTTTACCTGTCATTTCAAGCAGTCTATCAGCCAGGGTGCTTTTTCCATGGTCAATATGAGCAATGATACTGAAGTTTTTAATTCTTGACACAGGAAACTCTGACATGTCAATATTTGAGTCCTAGCACAATAAAAAACAAAATATTTTATTACAAAAAGTGTTAACACACTCAGACACAATGAACAAAAAACAACAAATGATGCTTTTCAGGCAATTTTGATTATGTTCGTAGAATAAAGTTAACATACTTTGAGGCCTAAAATCCTGAACAAAATGAGTTGGGACACTTGAGCTGGATCACGTATCTCCCATTCCACCTAATCAAATTATGCTGGTAAATGTCACAGTTTCTTTTCCAACGAAAAGAGACAAAATCACCTGATTATCGCCATTGTAAGTAGGGGGAGGGGAGACCTTGTTTGGTGTCTCAATTTTTTGACCAGGACTGTAGATAGCATATGGAAAATTTCTTGCAAGTTAATGATTGATTGTAAAAAATACTATATCTTCAAAAATATTAATAGATAAGGTTAGTTAATAGAAAATAAGCCTTGACCATGATTTGCTCTGTTATACGGCAGGTGAGGAAGAGATAAGAAAATTAAAGAGCTGTAAGGTCTAACATGACCTGCAGTCAAGTGTTCTCTCTACTTTTAGGCACCTTTGTAACATTATTGCATGCTTTATAACAACCAAAGCACTGGCTTTCTTTTCAGAACTTTTGAGACTAGTTAAAAAACACACAATAATGCTGACATCTATGTCAGCAGTCTTTTATACCTTTTTGGAAATTCCATGGCTTGTTGACTGAGTGCAGGGTCTCCAAAATCGATGAAATATGCTGCCACTATAAAACATAACATTAAAATGGCTCACAGTATGAAATGTTTCTAATGAAGTTTTTCAGCATACCTTTAGTATGAAATCAAAACCTTTTATATGCTCCGTCTACTAGAATACTGTTCAAAAATCATATCAAAAACTTACTTGTACATGTAGTTCTGAGGTATTTCACGTCGAAAGGCCTTGCTTGAAAAGTTGTACTCCGTTCTTCGCGTTCTTGCAGCAGAACAAGAGGACAGACATCTACCACCCTTTAAGCATGACGTCTTGACAAAAAGTTCACTCGTAACAGCCCTTCTTTGCCTGCATAATTGCATTGGCATGTTCATACTTCACCGAAGGACTATCCTCTAATCTAATTGTTACATTTTAGCCTTCATAATCGCCTCAAAATAAATTGATACAGCGAAGTCGCCATCTTAGTCCGCCATCACCCGCCATATTTGTTTCGTTCAATTACCGCTGCCTAAGATTTGAGCCCGTGATAAGAGAATTACGCAATGTGATTGGTCAACTTCGCAAAATTAGCCAATCACAGGCTAGGTTCAGGCATTCTCAGTGCTTCCCAGCGAAATTTGAAATTGCTCGTAAACATTTTCTTTCTCCACCATGGATATCGAAAATGAAGTTTATTTTCTTAAAGAAGAAATAATCCGCTTGAAAGAGGAGAACGAAGGATTGCAGCAAGATAGAGAATTAGCAGGAGAGATTGGGAAAAACCTGCTTGAAAACAATCAAGAATTGGAGAAGAAACTTGAAGAAGTAAACAACAACTACATATCAACGTTAGGCAGTCTCGAGGTATGAACCTTTCATAGTTTTCGTATTTTCGGATTATAACCGCTAAGCTCATAAAAAAAGTATTCTAATTTACGGTTATCTCCTCTCTCATTTATAGGAACTCAAGCAAGATAATCATACCTTGCGATCTAGGCTAGAGATTGAAGTCCGAGCCAATTCAAACCATGTTCACGAATTGGAGGATTTGAAGGAGAAACTTCGAAAGGAATTTGAGGCAAACGAGAAATCTCAACAAATAAGTACAGAGAAAAAGATCAATGATCTGAGAAAGGAAATAGAATCTTTGCAAAATGATATAAGCAAGCACAGCCTGATCGAAATTCAACTGAACGAAAAGATCAAGAAGCAGGATGAGTTGCTTCAAAAAGCTCGCCAAAATAACGAAGAACTTCAACACAAGGGAAGATCACGGTTGGAGAGCGTCGAAGAGTATATACATCTTGCTGCAGAGCTAAAGGACGAGAGAGATTCTTTGACATTGGAGCTTGCTGACTGCAAAGATAACCAGGAGAGAATTTTATTCGACAGAAACTTGCTGAAGGAGAAAGTAGAACATCTGGAAGAAGAACTGCAAGAAAAGGCTCGGCAAGGAGAAACGTGGTTTAACTGTTTACAGGCAAGTGCTGAATTTATAGAATTGCTTCAAGTCGAATCTCTTTGTATTTCCGAAAGGAGGTTATGTGATGATCGTCGGAGGTGTTTTCGAGAAAAAAATAAACAGCAATAAACATTGGCGAACTCGGGAAGATCAAGAGACCTTTTTTTTACCTTGGGCAGTTTGTTGCCGTATTTCAGACCATGTGAATTCTTGCTTTCAAATTTTCAAATAGTCGCGTGTTATGATTGATTAATTTTTAGGTGGATAAAAGAACAATTCTCTAGAGAATATCACGTGGTCTGTAATGGCAAAACAAACCTCCCCAGCTAAAAAGGCCTATAGCTCCAAATCTTTTGTCCTTCAATTTGGAAGCGTTCCCAACTCCTCACCTGTTATGAAGGTGTAACTGAATAGTCCTATAACCAGATAACATTACATAAAAACAATTTCAACAGGAAGCTCGCCTTGAGGCAGGAGAATTGAAAGCTGAGTTGGAAAACCTAAAGGCCGACAATGCCAGGAGAAATTTTGGAAAACAAGGAAATTCTTTATTTGGAGAGGTATGTTGGATTTTTCGTCTCGTTTAGAGCATTTTTCTGCTCTCATTTTTAATGAGTGCTATCAAATTGTCCGCAGGTAGAAGACAAACGATTAGAACTTGAGAAAAAATATGTTAGCTTGCATGCAAGACATGAGGGTATGGTGAAAGTACACAACATGACAAAACAGCATCTGCAGAGGTTGAAGGTAAAAATAAAGTACTTATGTAGCAAAACGTCTGACATAGCGTTATTAAGAACGCTATTGCACGTGCTGATTTTTCGTCTCATTTATTAAAATCGCAGCAAAAAAAGTACAAAACATTGTATTTTGTGTTGCAGAATCAAGTTGCTACTCTGTTGCAAGTCAAGAGTTGTCATGCCGACGCATCTCAGATTCAAAGGCTGACTCAGGCCTTAGTGCAGAAAGAAGGCGAAGTGAAAATGCTAAACACAAAAATATCAACTTTGGAAAAACAACAGGTTACTCGTAAATATTATTAAAAGTAGTTATTATATGACAGAGAAAATTACTTCATTGTGATTGGCTGAAACCAGGCCGATCTATCGCTAACTAGAAGAAGACAATCCAAATAGCTGAAATCACAAATTAACTTATATCAGAAATTAACTGAGGTAAAAAATTAACTACAGCATTGCCAGTCAGGTAAAATCTGAATATTTTCTTCTTTGTTGATATTCTTAAATGCTTTCACCGTGTGCTTTTAGCGTTCAGCACCACGTCCTGAATTGTTTTGGGTTTGATTTGTTATTCCTCAGGAAGAGAGCAATATGAGCGGCCGTTTGCAGGAATTTCACGACGCTTTCTCGGAGTTTGGAGATAAAAAAGACTATGTGAACTTCCTTCAACTGCAGCTGGAGGATTCAAAGTAAGTTTATGTGAGATCGGTAGAAAAGCACAAGGTTGACAACCTAGGGTGACAACGGTTCACGGTCGTCTGGAGCCTCGTCCACTCTACGGCGTTTTCACTCTGAAAACGCATCAAATGTTTTCCGTCCTCACTACGCCGGAGAGATTTGAAAACGCGACAATCACCGGTCATTTTGGATTTGTTTATTTAGGAAACGCGGGCAGTGGCCCGATTCTATCAGCCAAATTATCTGAGTGACCCTCAAGCTTTGTTTGACCCACAAAAGATGCCATTCTAAAACAGACGTGCAAAAATGAGCTAAGATCGATTGTGATCGAATACGTTCACCTGTGAAGAGAAGTTAAAGATTTCTTGCAAGATGTGTCTCAATATTGTTTTTTTAAAACAAAGTACGCCCCGAAGGCGTTTTTATTCAATCCTTCGAATGCAACCTTAGATATCTTGATTGATAAAAACATTGGTGTTGTGTCCTGACCACCCTCCTATGAGTATGTGAGACGACGTGCATCCTTGGGCTTTCACATGGGAGTTCCCCCTCCCCGTGGGCGTTCGCGATGGTTGTAAAGAAGCTTCGGGTCTTCATTCGTGTCCTCAATTCTTCCTTTCTCTAAAACCTCCCATCTTCGAAAAACACGCGACAGCGGCGAACGTAAAGTTTGCAAAAACGAACGATCGTTCTTGTAAACTTTCGTTCTCACCGCTTTCGCGCGTTTGACTTCCTCTTGTCTGTCCCGGGGTCTCCGATGATGAAAAACGTCCGAGAATCATCTAGGTAAATCTGTGATTGGTTGTCGCTCGGTTTCTCAAACGACCAATCAGAAACGCCTTCACGTAAGGAATCTGGAACTGGGAGGAACTTAGCATAGCATGGCAATTTTTCTTGGACAATTCTGTCCAACGGGGAAAGGCGCAATGAGGATAACCCAATGTGAAGCACCAACCCGTGAGATAAGGCTAGACCACAACACCGGAACTACGTGTCCTACTCTTTGCGATAAGTATGTGGGTTCTTCAACGTCTCCTACTAACCATGTAACACTGAAGATGCAGGAGACGGGGCCTACAGTTTAAAGTCCTCATCCGAGAAGACTTGAACGTCTAACCATTTGCAAAAGTAATTACAAAGCCGGTCCGGGGCTCGAACCCTCGACCTCCCGCACAGCAGTCTGGCGCTCCACCAACTGATCTGATCTGGCGCTCTACGATCTTAGCGCGCATCCAGCCTAACTGTAAGCTTTTAAATGTGTTTTATAGGAAAAATATTGCGAAATTGAATAAAGAGCTGCAGACAAAGACATTACTTCAGTTGTCAGAGACTGACAGACTTCGTCACACGGAGCATCAGTTGCACATTTCAGAATCCAAAGTGGAGAAACTTAACAGTGAAAACATCAAGCTGAGGCTTAAAATTGAGGACTTACGGATTAAGATGCAAAGCCGTAAGTATCACATTAAAAAAATCTTACGTAATTTAGTTTTACCGCTCACTTCGCACTCTGCTTCACACTTACGCGCCCGGCCTAAGCGCTATCTTGTCGGCTTTCCATTTTCCTTCTGTTTCACATCCTTTACTTCATTATCGATACATAAAACGAAATTGACTTTATCGAGAGATTCGCTGCAATGTAAGGATGTCAAAGTCTTAAATTTCAGAAGATGTTACACATTAAAAAACTAAAAACCATGCATGTTCAGTTTTGCATCTTACACTTGACTGACGTTAAAGGAGTTTGAGCACTAATTTTGGAATGTTTAGCCTTAATTTTTTAAGTTCTTCATTTGTAATCTGTGTCAATCTTTTCCATCCTTAACAATTCTTGTTCCTTTATGGTTTATTATTATCTCTTTGGTGTTTCTCTATTTTAGTAAATGACTATTTTCAGGTTTCCTTCAATTTAAAGGTAGTTTTGTATGTGACCAAAACAACTCAAAATGCCTTGAGTGAGCTCTTTCAATAACCGAAGTTAATTTCCCCTTTCAACTTATTTTGAATAATCTTTCTTTTTGAAGATTCCCAGAAAAATGCTCAAGATGTTCCTCAAAATATTACCTCGTCCAGTCTGCGGAAGGCAAAATCTGCTACCGGGCTGATAGACACTAAAAGAACCAGTATTCAACAATCAGCGCCCAAGAAGGACGGCAGAGAAAACTTCACATCTAAGGTGAACGCTAAGATAGCAAAAATGGAGCCAACAAATGCGAAACCTCCACTGGCCCCGGCAAAAGCAACTGAACAGTCGTCGTCCAACGGAGAACGAAGCACTGTTGTTTGTTCTGGAGTTGAATCTATGATTGCTGAAAATGCTCCCAGCTTCAACGCGTCACGAATATCGCCTTTGTCAAATAACGGTGTTGAAATTGAAGCCAAAATTGAAGAACAGTGCGAGAAGAAACCAAAAGTGCGCTTTGAAGCTGAGCCGCACCATATCGACTTATCAGAAACTCAGAATGTAAGAGAGAGTGCAGGTTCCCGTACCGAGCTTTCAAAAGAGAATTTGCAGCCCGAGGTAAGAAGCTGTGAATTATGTATAAAAAAATGTTCTCCGATCAGAAACGTGTTAATCAAACACTGGCTCGGTCATTTAACTATAAAGATTATCTTTATTTGGCTGATAGACCCCTAAATGTGGGAAAGAGGTACTTGTTAGCGGGATCTTTCTGTGTTTTATCGGTCATGTTAGCGTGGGTAAATATTTCTAAGGTCAAGCGCTCCCTCCCATCCAAAGTGAAAGAGAAATCGTTGAAGTCCAGTCGAAGAATTCCATTCTAATCACGTGCTCCAAAAGAGATCCGTGAAGTGTCATGATTGGTTATTTCAATTTTCACGTTCCATTGACGACCGATCATATTCAACACAGAATCTCTTTTCAATATGGCATTTTCGGTTCTGAATTCCTTCTTTTTCATGATTGTATTGTGATATCTTGTTTGTTACTTTGCAGGAAAGCTATTCTGAATGTGGAAATATTTCTACCCTGACTGTGAAAGGGCAGAAAAACGCTCCTGTGGTTATTAATGTGAAGAAAGGCGAGACTAAAAACCAATGTCCACAGCAGTAACTCGTCTTTAATTAAGGAATTTTATAGACATGGTAAACAATAGAAGTCTAAAAATCTTAGAAAATGTTTGGCCGGGAAAAAGAAAAAGAAAAAAAAAAATAGCCCAAGCGCGCAGTTTAGCTATGTTACTGCTCTAGAATGTCGAATTTCTTGCAAATTGAGCAACTCTTTTTGTTTAAATTGAAAAATAGAAGCTGGGCGAATTACAATACTCCACTTCCAACAGTATCTACGTGTTCTGCCTCTGATCTCACTTCCCTGGCAACGAAACTAGTGACGAAATTACCGGCGACATTTCTACCACAAACCGAAATGCAACCTGGAAAAGCAATTAGGTTACTCAAAAGTTGCAATGAGTTTTGTTTTTGTTTCGGTGTCACCTTTTGTTTGTAGGGAAAAAAGGGGGAAGACTTCAAGAACATTTTCTAGGAGACAAACCAAAATCACTTGTGACTTGCGCGCCTTGTCGTGCGCTTGGAATGAGCATTGCTCTGTTCACAGCGTTATTTTCGCTATTTCTGATAGGCCAGATGTTACAACTTTTCAATTCTTTGATAAAACTGTTCTGACCACAGACAACTGACTGACTGATAACTTCTCTGAAATAGCCACCGTTTTAGCCAAAAAAGGCAATTGTGCTTGTCGATAAAGCTAAACGCGTCAAATTTTGAAAATTTCCTAACGAATATCAAAAAATAGCGGTAATAAAACTCAATTTTCAAACAGCCTTGGTCTGCTTTTTATCCGTTATTAAACGGTTGTGGTGGTACCCTGCCTTGCGAAACTCCCTGTTAACACCAGCACCTGAGAGCCGTGTTGCTACGGCCACGATTATTGGTCCAGTGACGCTTAGTTCGCCATCGTCCTACTTTTAGAACCAGTTTATACGACCAAAGTTTCACGGGCAAAAGGTGGTTGTATTAGAAGGACTTTCACTGTATGTCAGGCAACGCCTAAGTTTCGGGTGGTTTGTGTAATGTGTGAGGGTCCAGCTTTTAAACTCAACTTCTCAAACTCATTAATAATTCATCAATTTTAAACAAAGAAAATCATTGCCGTGACGGTGTTTGGATATCTCATCTTAATTAGCATAATTTTTTTATGATTTTGTTTCCCCGTTTTCTCCTTAGTTTTAGTTTCGATTGAGAAGATATACCAAACATTTAAGACAGTGTTTAACCACATCTCCAAACACCTCGAAGTTCGTCAAAAATACTGCACTATATAACGCGTCCTATATTCAGTTCTCTTCTCGGTGTTTGGAAATGTGGTCAAACACGGTCTTTCGTGCTTGATATATTACTGAAAACACAACTGAGTCCGGGCTATATACGTCCGAGTTTATTCTCACTCTACCATATATTAAGTGGATTTAGAGGTTATAAGTTGCTTAGCTGCCACTTCGTGAGCGCAATAAACCTTTTGTACGACTCGGTCAATGGAACAAATCTCACCATGCTCAATGGCATTGAGAAAGCGACAGCTCCCAGATCTTGCCAGACAGAATGGCGTGCTTTGAACTACGTGGCCAAGTCGTGCAGAAGGTCCATATAACTTGTAATTATTTACAAGAAACCAAAATTCACCATAGTGCAATTGAATCTTTGTTGCTTCAGTAGACGCCATTTACCACGTTTTGCCGATCGATATAATGGGTGCACGGAAGACTTCATGTTTAAACCTAACTAAAAGACAAAAGCTTGAACCTGTTCCCGCCCGACTTGTTTCTTCATCTTAAGTTATACAATACTGTAATTTTTATGCAACTAACGCTAAGAGGCTGTATTTACACTCATTAAACCCAACTTAACCAATTACAAGGGTCTTAAAGGAGTTCAGCTGATAGCCGAAAATTGGTCAAATCTACTTGTCCGCTAGAAGATGATGCACTTTTAAACTAATGACTGAAAAAAACGCCCTAAATCTAGCACAGTGGTAACCGAAATTTCATACCCTCAACTGCAAGTCACGCCAGCGTAACTTGTGAACGCAATTGAAATTGTAATGACAAAAATAATCCAGATTTCATGTTCAGTCAAATTTATGAGAATCATAAAAAAAAAATTCGATGCAGGAACTTTCGAACTTTTCAATATTTTGTTGGGAGACTCGCAAGACTTTGCAGAACAACTTAGAAAACTTTCTAGTAGTGCCTTTAGAACAGATTTTCTTACAACTACTGCATGCGACATACTTACAACACTAGAAACCCAGTGGCCACTTGTCTCCACACAAGCAAGTTGGTTAGGTTTGATTCAGACGAAATGTTGTCGCTAGTATATCACATGCAACAACTGTAAGCAAAAATTGTACCGCATAATGTTTTGCAGTTCGCAAAGTTTTGATGAATTGTTGAACTCTCTCAGACAATTTCATGATAAGCATCACTACAGCACCGTGTGAAGATCGATCCATTAATGCCAGCAATACTTGCTTACTGATTATCTGTAAAGGAAAAATAGACTAGAATTAATCAAAAGCAGCAAGGCCACCTGTTGTAGATCAACATGAGAGAGACTACAGGACTCTTTGCAATTTATATTTACGTTTGAGTTGCCAGACAGCTCCGTTACGTTTCCTGGCTCGAGTGAGGCAAGCGAGAGTGCAAATAGGTCCAAACAGGATCGTGTGCAGTATCATAGATCTAAGACCAGGTCAAACTTCGAACTTCACATGAGACGAACTAAACTGAGCAAATTAAGTTCGTGATAAGTTCAACGTTTGATAACGCCTAAGTTCGTCCGACTGAATTAAGATAGATCAACAGATCTTCTCATGAATCGAACTTAATGAAAAAGTTAAAAATGTGTATGATAGTGTATATTTTAGCCTCGAGTTTCGTTTTCGCTGCTCTGAATTTGGTTCGACGAATTGGCCCAACGGTTGAGCCATACCCGTTTGGATCGACTCAAATTGCAATTTAGTTCGTCTCATGTGGAATTCGACGTTTGGCCTGGGCCCAAGAAAACAATACAAGGCTTGCTTACCTTCAGTGTAAGCAGAATCCGCGATAACAAGGTAAAGTATTTTTGGGTACAGGTGCTCCTTGTCTCCCAGTAGTTCACTGATCTCGCCTGTTGAACTTATGTCTGCACTGTCGTCCTCATTTTCCTGAACAGCCTGGAAAGTAACAAATATAAAATGTCTCTGACCTTGGAAGCAAAAAAAGAAAGTTCTCTAACTCATTAATAATTCATCAAGATTAATCAAAGGAATTCATGATCGTGGCGGTGCTTGGATATCTGACCTTAATTAACGTCGATTTTTACGATTTATTTCTCCGATTTGTTCTTAGTTTTAGTTTCGATGGAGAAGATATATCAAACACTCATAACAGTGTTTGAACAAATTCGAAGTTCGTCAAAAATACTCCGCTACGCGTCATATTTTCAACTCTCTTCTCGGTGTTTGGATATCCCGATGAAACACTGTCTCTCGTGTTTGATATATTACGTCAACATATAGTCGAACCTCTACGACGGACAACGGCCACCTTGGGGACAGAGCAAAGCGGCCGTTTGTAGACAGGTGACCGTTATGAGGAGAGAGCACCTGTTCTTTTCGGGGGAACATCATTTACGTTTCTTTTTTTTTTTAAATACTAATTTTAGCAAGGCTCGATTACCAGCCGCTGTTCGGGAATGGAGCCCGCGCTCCTCCCCCGAACTGACCGGACTCGAGAAAGCGGCGGAAATCGAGCCTACATTTTAACCTATAAATACCTAACACAATCAAAATATATCAAAAACTAAATAGAAACTGAGACCAACGACGCGTGGTACGGTTCAAGTTTAATGAACAATTTCCAATAAAAAATGTGGTTCTGTATTCACCGTTCGTCAGTAATTGATTAACTGGCCGTTGTCAAGAGGTTATTTGTGCAGTCGAGACGAGTTTTAGTAGCAGTTGCCTTTGTGGAGAGGTGACCGTTGTAGACAGGTTAAAATAAGAGTGAATGTATGGACTGTCCGCTGGGACCAAAAAAAGTGGCCGTTAGTGGAGGTTCGACTGTAATTCGTCGTGTTTTGTTGATACCAAAAGGTATGGAGGTAGTGCACAGTTTCTACAGAGCCAAACGAACAGCCTTTTCTGTTGGCAGTCACTATAATTTTTTTTGATGTTGTTACTTGGGTAATTATGATCACCCAACACTTCCCTCATAGCAAGTGGCGCGTTACATTGCGTGACCAAGAAATAGGGGGATTTTGGTACCTGAAGGAACTTGTAGACTCGAAGAAATCTGTCAATTCCCAATTCTTGTTCGAGCATGAGCCGTGACTCTTCCAGCCTCTGGAACAGACTCTCTTCATCCTCCAGTCGCTTCTTCTCTCGCTCCTCCTTTTTAGCGGAGTCGTCATCTTCCTCATCACCTATTTTAAAATGACAATGTCACAAAATATTTGCAGCCGTGATGGGTCGTCACGCAATCTTATCAATAAGTTTACGACCCAGCAATGGCTGTAAAGGCTGGAAGGATTAAGACAACTGGGTACTATTATTCGCTAATAATTGTTTTTACTAATGGACTCACTACAGTCGGGTTTGTGCATTTGCTCACATCCAAACTTAAGTATTTTAAAGCCTTGCAGAGGACAGCTGTTTCGTCACACTTGGGACTCATTAGCAGTACACAAGGCATAGTGGAAACAAGCTTAAAAGGCAGGATGGTCTTGTCTGCTCTCAAACTCATTAGTAATTTATCAAGTTTAAACAAAGGAAATCATGACCGTGACGGTGTTTGGACTTCTGATCTTAATTAGCATAGTTTTTTAATTTCTTTTCTCCATTTTCTCCTTAGTTTTAGTTTCGATTGAGAAGATATATCAAGCACTCAAGACAGTGTTTGATCACATTTCCAAACACCTCGACTTTCGTCAAAAATACTCCGCTACGTGTCCTATTTTCAACTCTCTTCTCAGTGTTTGGTAATAAGGTCAAACACGGTCTTTCGTGTTTGATATATTACTTCCAACTCAGTGGTGCACATTTTGGATCACTGGAAACGAGCGCACCATTAGTCTTAAGCTGCGTCCCTCTAGTATGATACGGATCGGGATCAATGATTCAAGATCACTCATGTCATGGCGCATCAAAAGAATCGATGAATACACTCTGGTCAAGGACTCATCGTTTCCTTTGATGCACCATGATCCCAGCGATCTTGTATCACTGAACGTGGTCCGGATCACCCCAAAGAAAAGCAGCCCTTTGACTACCTCTAGAATCATGTTTCACAGGATTAAGAATCCTTCATTTAATCGAACTATGTTTTTCAATAGCCCTTTTCACGGTTACCTTCGCTCATTTGCATCACAATAAACTCTAGCATGTATGTGAGGCAATTTCGGGCTATTTTGTAATTTTAGCCCGAGATTGTCTCGAATCCACGTTGGATTACACTGTAATGCAAATGAGAAAAATTAACCGTGAAAAGGGTTATTGGATATTTAACGTGCACTAACAATTCTTAGCCTGTTCACAGCCTCTCTATTTTCTCCCGTCAAGTCTCCAGTTTTTCGCTGACGTCCAGTTCTCTTGCGATTCTACGATCGAATAAAAATGCGAGAAAAAAAGAGGGCTGTGAACAGTTTAGACCATTCTCCACATACCCGAATCCCAGTCCTCGTTCAGATTGGACAGTTCAGATGACGATCGTCCCATTTCCACGCCGTCACTTTCATCATCTGTAAAATAAACAAAACAAAATAAACAAAGAGTGTCATCAGCCTTCTCAGGTCAAGAATCAAAGGAAACATTTGTTTACCTTGAGGAACTTGTACGGTGTCTACGCTGTGATCCCAGTCCAGGCTGCTAGCTGTTCCACGCATGCCTTTCATGGGCGAAGGAGAACGACCTAAAATACGACACAGAAGGCAGTAAGCATTCACGGTATTTTGAGTTATTTTGGCCACGTGCAAAATTACCTTTAAATTGAAGGAAACCTGAAAATAATAGTTTACTAAGATAGAAAAACACCAAAGAGATTATAATAACCCATAAAGGAACAAGGATGGCTAGGGATGAAGAAGATTGACACGGATTAAAAAACGACGAAATTGAAAAATTTAGGCTAAACTTTTTAAGATGCACAAACCGTGACTTAACTCCCTTAAGTGCTGGAGAGACCTGTGTAAGAACAGTAGTTAGATGTACCTTACCTGTGCTAACGAGTACATCCCTCATGGAATTCAGCATGTCCTCGAATTCTTCGTTTTCTTCTTCTTCGCTGAAGAACGAGAAAATGCAGAATTGTCAAATTAGTTACAAGAGAACCACTAATTGCTGACCGAGATATTTCGAAGATCAAAATAATGTCTTTTCAATAATTAATTAGTGTTGGGACAAACAAAGCTTTACCCTGAACAAACCTTCAAAATGCCAACAGTAAAAAAAATTGCATAACATAACATTTGTCTGACGGAACAGGGGAACTTAGTACTAAATCAATTAAACCTCTCGTTCTCAATGTGCAGGAGCGATGGTCAAGCTAAACGACTTCTCGATGCAATAAAAATTGAGCCCGTACAATCAAATTGTTGCTTTGATTGTTCACTTTTGGCAGATGCATTGTAAATAGTACCGTCCTGGATAAAGCTAGAGACTGAACCTAAATTTTACAGCAATTTTGCGAATCGTCAAACATCACCAAAGTAACGGTCCTTGTAGTCTGCGAGCAGGCTCTTTGCGTGGCAAGAAAAGTGGTAAGGAAAGGAAAAGAAAAGAAGAGCCTTCTTCTCTCCTTTTCCTTTCCTACTTCCTATCGCAAAGAGCGTGCTCGCAGGCTAGTCCTTGACACTGCTCCCTATACCTTCCAACGTTCAACTCTTCTTCTTCGTCATCTTCGTCTAGCTCTCCATCTTCCTCGTCCAATTCTTCCTCATCATCGTCTTCAATGTCTTCTTGCTCATCGTTAGTTTCCTTTCCGTCGTCCACTTCATCTTCATCTTCCTCCCCCGGGTCTGCCTCAGAAGTCTCTACACGTCCGGGGGTGGCAGTCTCGAACAACAACCGTAAGTTCGGGAGAGAGCAGGTGCGAAGCCTCTGTGATAATTCAAGGACACAATGTCGTGAATTAATTGACAGACAATAAAACCAGTCGTTGATTCTTTAAACTAACTTTATTCTACTAAAACTACCATCGTTTAAAGGATTTACGTCAAGGTTTGCGCATTTTGAAAAGTTAAGCCTTCATGGTTCAAGTTCACCGTTTGTAATTCGTGATAATCTTCTCCATCCTCAACCATCCTTGTTCCTTTATGGTATATTATTGTCTCTTTGGTGTTTTTCTATCTTAGGAAACTACTATTTTCAGGTTTCCTTCAATTTAAAGGTAATTCTGTACGCAGCCAAAATAACTCAAAATACCGTGACTGAGCTCCTTTAAGTACCTAACTAAGGAAAGATCAATATTCATTGAAAATAAATTGTTCACTAAGCAAAGAAAGAGAAACCCACAGAAGTGAAGTCAAAAGCTGTTGGTCACTATTGAACATATCTTACATGACGTATCAAATAAAACCAGGCACTCTTGCAAGGTGCATAACGGCACCAACCCAAAACTAATTAACACACTGGAAGATACACTGAAGAGCCAAGAACGACAGTTAAAACAGAAACGCTGTTGGTTCAGATCAGAGATACAACAATTAACACTATTAGAAAGTTAGAGTAAATGCAGCTAAAATTATGTGTTAATAACTCACCGTAAAATTCGTATCATAAATTCCTGTTTGTAACTCTGCAGCTCGCAGGGAGTTGTTGAGTGACCCGTCAGCCGTGTGAAATGATCTGAAATCCAAGTACCTTTCTCTTACTTTAACTACTAAAATATTTACTTATGGTAAGGTTAATTCTGCATACGAGCCATTTGGCCCATCAGGCCGGAGCTTATCCCGGTTTCTGTAGCATGAAGTGACTAGGAGTATTTCTACTCTCCCCTGGATGGGATGCTAGTCCATCACAGGGTTACCCCCAGCATTAAATTCGCCGGTGCCCATTTATACACCTGGGTGGAGAGGGGCACTGTGAGAGTAAAGTGTCTTGCCCAAGAACACAACACAGTGTTCCCAGCCAGGGCTTGAACCCGGACCGCTCGATCCGGAGACGAGCACACTAACCATGAGACCACCGCGCGTCCACATTGCGGTAAATTAGTTCATCTGTAAATTCCGTGATATGTTTCCAAGGTGAAAGAATGCTTTTACGAGTGCCAGCCTCATCTATCTATTCTTGTAATCCTACACGATAGGAGACTTACAGGATGTATTTTTTTCACTTTCGCCAAAAAGCAAAGAAAGGTCAAAACACTGTGTTAAACTTCTCACTGAAATCCAAACACACTTACAAGTCGTCAACTGAAATGTCTTGTACTTCAAGATCTTCAAACTCCTTTTCTTTCTTTTCTTCTTTACGTTCAACTCGCTCAAAGAGAGCTTCTTTTGATTCCTGTTCGGCCTGCTTAGATGACGGAGGCTCCTGGTTATTACTTGACGCAGATTCCTGTTCGGCTTGCTTGCGTGACTCGATCAAGAACTGTTGATAAGCCGCCCTGTTATCAGACTGTACCCAGGCACTTTTGGGAGATTTTGGTTGTGGAGCACCTAAAACATGAAGAGCACTGGTGATCAGCATCTGATTTCTCCTTGATATATCAACACAATGTCATTTATTCAAGCCAGGAGATTTAAGCAGCTGATCTCAAGCCAGGGAGGGGGCTCCCATGCGAGTGGGTGATCGTCGTACGTTTTAGAGGCTAACGTTAAGTTAGGAAAAAAATTGTTGAGAACGCAACGACCTGAAATGTTTCTTCCAGCCTTCAATGGTATTAAATCAGCCGTATTATAATTTCAATTTTTCATGACTTTTGTTCACAATTTCATCTTTCCCTGACTCCGAATAAAAATTCCTTGACTTTTCCCTGACCTTGAAGAATGTTTCTTCCTGAACATTTTCCTGACCTATGGCAACCTTGTTCTTAGAACTAACGTTAAATGTAGGTAGTAAGGAGAATTAACAAATTGATCCAGGAACTGAAACCTACTCTCAGTGGGTGTGCTTGCTTTTGCCTCTCCCCAGGCCCTCACTGGGCTCTTTGGTGCAGCTGGTGGTACTGGTTTCTCAGCTGATGTTTCAGACGTCTTTTCCACCGGGATATTTTCTACGTCTTCTATACTCAGATCTTCTGAATTCTCCGTCTTAACAGTAGCACCTTCCTTGCTAATGTCGCTCTCTTTGGTTCGTTCTGAGATTGTTTCTAAAGGAAGCGGTTTTTTGGTGTTCTCTGTCGTTGTTCCTGATATCGTTATGGTGGCTTCTCCTTGAGCGCTCGCTTCTTCGACTTTATTCTTTCTCATAATAACAGTTTTTGGAGAATCACCGGTGGGCGATTTCACCACCGTCACCCCCAGCATGGGTTGTACGGTGGGGTTTTGCACCGTGACAGTTGCACCCATTGCTGTTGATGGCCCTGCAGGTGAAGATTGCGTGACAACCGGAAGTTGAGGTTTCCTTGCAGTGTCGGGCTCGTCGTCTCCTCCCATGGTGGTTGTAACAGTCTGAAGTTTGGCGTTACCCAGAGCGGATATAATCTGGGTCATTTGTGGTTTGCTCCACTGTTTCCGGGCGGGGTCGACTGCGGGTTTCAAGACGGCATCTTGAGCGCTGGTCGCTAAAATGGAACAGCAAATAACGAGTTAGAATCTGAGCTGAGTCAGAGCCGGAGCGAACACAGGTCTATCTTCACACACTCGATACTTCCACGGGAGTCGTCGAACATTCGTTCACGGAGCTGTAAACAGATTCATGTAACACCTATGATTGCTTGTCATGTGTGGTACGAGCCAAAAGATTAAGAATATTACAAAAAAACATCACCAGCCAATACGAAGTTCTCTATAGTGCTAAGCCATCACAAAGGAATTTTCCGGGTTGACTAAGCGTTTGATGAGACGATTCTTTACACACAATTGTAGTCGACAAGGACCTATGAAATAAGCTAAAAAGAAGCTCTCTCCCTCCCCCCACCCTTACTAGTTGACCCCTCGGCACAGATACAACCATAAATAGGTTTAGTTTAGGTTCTAAGCAAAGACGATCAAAGAATGCGAAATCAAAATTGCGAGTACTTCAAATCTGACATACATGAACGCGGTCTGTTGGGAAAGACAAAGTATGGCTCGACCAAACTTGTCTGATACATAGCTACACACAAATCTTTCCATATACAGCATGTTTCCTGTTCTGTTACTTAAAATACCACTTGCTTACCTTCCATCGCAGAGGCTGTAACTTCCAATGGAAGAACGCGAAGCTGAAACGGTACCTCTCCCCAGGCTTTGCGCGGTGCCAAAGGTTCGTCCTTCTCCTCCTCTGTCATCTTACGAATATCATTCTACAACAACAGTGGGGAAAAATAAATCAGTGATAGTGTGTGAAATAATTACCTGTTTTGAGCGAGAGACAGACAATAATATTGCAGAATTTGTTTTTCACTAGAGCAGAAAACAGGACAGAAAAAAGTGCAAGAAAGTTTTCATTTTGTAAGAAATTAGACTTACAAAACCAAGACACATTTATGATTCATTTACCTCAGAATTCGATCTGAATAACATAGTGGCTCCAACTTCTTTCAGTGCCGTCTCCAGGCCTACGGGGGCGACCGCTGGCTTTGGAGCAGGTTCTACGACAAATCAATAAGCCTTGTGAGCCAAATGACACCAAAATACAAAGTATTACACACGTGAAAAAACCTGAATTTCTCAAAGCTTGAATCATAGCTGCACAGAAATCATACCTGCTGGTCTTTCGTATTTCGCTAAGGCTGGAAGAGGCCTATTTCAAAACAGAAAGAAAAGAAGAGAAATAAGCCAAGCTATATAGTATTACTCATTTTAACGAAGTGTTCATCCTGATCACTTTCCAATTCACTTTGTAAGTGTTATATCGAGCTTTTTCCCTTTCTCTCACGACATGTTTTAGATCACCTTGCTCAAGGAATACAAAACAGAGAAGCTTTCAAGTTAAGGCGTCAATCACTCAACGTATTTACATAACGTACCTTTTATCAGGATCTTGTCTTTGATTTTCCTGGTGAAAAAAATAAATGTATAAGCTCACAAGCAGTCTAAATGTGATATGGTACAAACTTTGTTTAAAACTAAATGGTTCTCAACCTTGAGATGGGACTTAATCAAAACTCTCCTGAAAAAAAAAACACCTTTTAAAAATTTACAAACCTTTTCCAGCTTGTCTTTGCCCTCTTTATTAATTCTTTCCAAAATCGCTTTCTTTCTCTGTTCAAGCTGGGCTCGTAACATGGCGGCTCGCTCCTCTGCTTGGGCCTGGAAATGAAATAAAATGCAATTAGGCCGGTAAACAACGCAATAGACCAATCACGACTCAAAGAACACGCGACGCAAATGCTGTTAAGGCCAGAGCCAAGTCACGTGTTGCTTTAAGCCTTGCTCCTGATTGGTTGATAAGATTATGTTTGGTCTCACTGATTAGAGCACATTTCACAAGTTATAAAGGTCAGTTCAAGAACAATACAAAACACAGGATTTCTTTCGACGAACAGTTGAAAATCGCTCTATTATACACACAACTGAGAATGGGACTGAAATCTATTCTTGCCAAAAATTATTAAAACTAAAAAACCTCTTGCCCTGACCCTATCTATCAATTACTGACTTCTACATATCTCAACGACGCGAAAAGATTTCACGAGTCGCCCATTGGGTCCCTTTGACTCCTTTGCAAAGCTAAGTTCAAGTTAACCATGTTTGTTTCCTTTTTGTTTGCTTGCTTGTTTGTTTGTTGTTTTCACCTTAAGATCAGCAATTTTCTTTTTCCTGGCTGCAGGATCATAACGTGGATCTCCTGGAATCATCACATTCTCCTTCTGCAAGAAAAAGATCCCAAGCTTGTATTTCGTATTTAGTAACTGGAAACAGAAAATCCCCTGAACCACAAACTTAATGCTCCTGCAAGTGCAAGGGAACTCGTGTTCGTTATTGCGTATTCGCCTTTACTTTTCTTACTAATGCTACACGAGAATGCTATGAAAGCAAGAACCCTTGCACATTTTAATTGTTTCATTTCAAAAGTGCAAATGACATGGAAATATTTTTTTGGTTGAAAAACGAATGAAGAAAACCATTAGCTGTCCTTCAATACCTGTGCTGGCGGTACTTCCACGGGAGCACGCACTCCAGCCATTCGTCTTTGAAGTTCTTTTCGTTCTTGGAAGTTTTGGCGTCTGATGGCTTCCAAACGAGCAAGATACTCCTGAAGGAAACAAGCGACAAGACATTTAAAGACATTTACAAGTCTCAAAGCAAAGGCTCTATCTCTCGCACGACACAGCAGCAGATGGTATGCTGAGCTTTACAAGAGTTCAGCCGAGTGAATGGGAGGGGGGAGGGGTGGGGGTACGGTTTTTAGCAAATCTTTGTCGAGGCACTAATAAACTTTCTGATTTTTACGTACCATTCAGAGAACAGCACGAGCTTCGAGACTACGTCGAAATGTATCACGCCGTCGTGAACGGTAGCAACTTATGCAATGACCTGAAATCTACCTGCCTGCACGAATTCAACGTTTCCCAACTTTTACTTGATTACGATGTCGTGGGTTTTATTTCACAAAACTGGCTTGTTGCAGCTCTGCTCAATGTTGCAGTAAGAGGAATTTCAAATGACATTTGCGTAACTCGCAGGACCTCGGCTACGACAGGGTCTAAAATGGCCTTGTCACAAAACATCGCGTGACAGATAGACGTAATTAGAAGAAAGTCATTTTCTGTGTATGTCTTCGTAAAGAATATAAGTCAAACCTTTTCTTTTGCATCCTTTCCTGACACAGCATCTTTTTTACCAGGAACGTTTGCTGTAGAAAACGGCAAGATAACGTAAGGAGCAAGAACAACGCAAAGCAATGAACTTGAAACGAAAGTCTTAAAATATGAAATTTTCAGTAAATCAATTCACCAACCTGGAGGATAATGATCGGGCAGAACATTGAAATTCTAAGTAAAGAGGAAAAATAAGTAAGAACAATTAGAAAAGCAAGTTTTTCAGTAACAAAAGCCTGTAGTCGATTTTCCCCAAATATTTTAAAGGAGCCACGCGAAGGATACAAAACATGAAATATGTAGACGAGAGTTTTCACGTTCATCACGTTCGTCACGTTTATCATCACGTTCGTCACACTCATACGTCCATAGCACATGTACTAATCATCCCTGCTTATGGTTTTGATTATCCCTTTATGGTGTTTTTCTACATGAGGAAACTGTTAGGGTGAATTTCCTCAGACTTCAAAGTAATTTTGAGCATAGCTTCACCATCAGAAGGGAGGCGCGGTGGCCTCATGGTTAGTGCGCTCGTCTCCGGATCGAGCGGTCCGGGTTCGAGCCCTGGCCGGGGACATTGCGTTGTGTTCTTGGGCAAGACACTTTACTCTCACAGTGCCTCTCTCCACCCAGGTGTATAAATGGGTACCGGCGAACTTAATGCTGGGGGTAACCCTGCGATGGACTAGCATCCCATCCAGGGGGGAGTAGAAACACTCCTAGTCGCTTCATGCTACAGAAACCGGGATAAGCTCCGGCCTGATGGGCCACTTGGCTCGCATGCAGACTTTACCTTTACCTTTCACCATCAGAAGCTCTTGCTTGGGATCTGCAACTCTTTCATAAACCCTCTACTTCCCAAGAAAGATTGAAAACTAATTTCCTCTAACAGTGTCGGTCCATTGTCTAGTAAACAGCCCAGGAGAATATAAAAGACAATCATACCTGTCCTCGGGCTCTATTTCTCTGCGCATCTCTCTTTCTGTTCCAGAACTCTTCTAAGACACGAGCCCTTTCTGCAGCTCCGGCTGCTGAAACTCTGTACAGAAGAACAAGAAATAGATTATCAAGCTCTGTAACAATCTGATTGTGGTTTTTGGATATCTGATTTACTGATTATAACAAGCCACAAAGCAAGACCAAATAAATAAACTACACTCTACATTTTCCAAATCTCAAGCCCATTTTCAGTCTTAAGACTACACGAAATGGTATTTATGGGAGTCAAACCTCAATCTATCAAGAATAAAAATTAGCGATAATAATTTTGAAGGACGTTTCGATGGCTAGTTCATCATTTTCAAATTCGTAAAACTAAAAGTCAGATTCTTGTGTTTGTTTTTTATTGCATGTCGTTGTGATTACGAACTTGAAAATGAACGAGTCATTGAAACGTCATCTAAAATTATTATCACTAATTAAAATTTTTATTCTTAATTGTTTATCCAAAGCCTCCGTCGTTAAATCTCAAACCATAGCTCACCTATCTGCCTGCCCCTGTTTAGCAGCATCCCATGCTAAGTTCACAGGGTTCGCAGCTGGTGCTCTGTTAGCCTCGTTGGCAGACACAGGTCTACCAGCGACTTTGACAGCCGCTTGTTTGTTCCGTTCTTCTGCTGAGAGCGGGCGAGCAGGTTTGTTCTCTTTACTTTCCTTGTCATTTCCCTTTGCTTGGTACTTCTGCATTGCTTGTGGCTGCTTTTTCTGTAAGGGGAAGGTAAAGGATAATGATCTTTATCAGCCCTGGCTACGGTGTTTATCATTAAGTGTTTTATTATCCCTCCCAAGTCAACAATAGAACAAACTGCCAAAAAAATGATTTGCTTGACACCGGCTGACACACAAATTTGCCGCATTTTCAAGGTGCACGACCTGATCACGAGCGAGTCGAACGTTCAAGTTGTTGTTTCCCCTGAGGAGTTAGTGGGTTTTGACCCATGACACGTGACATGTCCTCCTCCAATCGGAAAACGTATTTGAGTTGGGCAGTATAACGATGTTATATTATGAGCATGCATACGATATGAAGATTGAAAGTGAAATCAGGGAAAGCTTGGAGTTTTCCCTTCCCTATTTTTTCCTCTTCTGATTTTCAAGATAATCCAGTCAGGGAGAAGCATCTTCTTTACAGTCGAGCATAATGTGGTGTTATTTTTGCACCTTTTTCAGCCTTCGTAAGCAGCGAAATACACGTAAACTACTGGCTGAAAAAGTGTCTCAAAATAGAGCTTGGAGTTTTCCTTAAAGTTCCTTTTTTTCCTCTTCTGATTTTCAAGATGATTCAGTCAGGGAGAAGCATCTTCTTTACAGTCAAGCATAACGTGGTGTAATTTTTGCACCTTTTTCAGCCTTAGTAAGCAACGAAATAAATGTGTACATGTAAACTACTGGCTGAAAAAGTGTCTCAAAATGTGGTACATTTTTTAAATTCAAAAAAGTTCACAAACATACATGTAGTAAATGACAGAGCCCATTTAGGTTATGGGGCTCTATGGCATCACCTTATAAAGGAGCCAAGGAACAAAGAAGTCAGCATTATAGATTACGCTCTACGATACGAGAAGCCTGGTCTCTCAGTGACAAAGCAGAATTCCAGGCACTCCTCCCTCTCTTTTAGACCCTGAAGCGACTGACACTTACAAATATGTCCTGTTGATTTGGTTTAGCACCAGCTGCTGGATCTGATGGCTTTTTCTCTTTCTACAAAACAACAAAGGTTGAAAACCTTTTTACATGTACAAGACAACAAAACCATTATTTGCAAAATAACGAATTCAAGGAAACCTCACACTACATTAGATAAACTGTAGGTTAGAATAAATTAGTAAACCATTTGATTCTTTAAAATGAGTTTAACTATTTAAACTATTGTTGGAAACTATTTTAATTTATCTTTGCTTATTTTTACATATATCGCACATGAAAGTATGATATTTATTCCTAAAAAATTAGCTAATGGTCTTAGATTTCTCACACCTTTCATTATAATAATTATTTTTGTACAACACATTAATTGTTATTGTGATTATATACAATTAGTAATTATAAGTATTTAATTAATAGGTTTTTTTTAAAGAATATGGATATTTATTTTAGCTTTATAGCCCTATAATTTAAGAATTGTCTAACAATCAAATGTTTTATTTTTTCAAATCTGACTGAGAGATGCAGTCATACCCCAGAGAAGAGAGTGTCTTGCATTAGCAGAATCAAGTCGATCAATTGCACGCAGGTATTAAGAACAAAACATGACTGAAGACAATTGTCTTGGAGTTTATAGAGGCATGCTTGAATATCGCACTCCTGAAAACAAGAGATCCGTCTCAAAATGTCACTGATTTTGATGAGTTGTTAGTGAATGCCAAAATTGTGACTTCTTTTAACAAACACCAATGTACGGCATGTTCGTGAATAAATTATGAATTTCGTGACGGATTGAATGAATGCATGTGAATAGAGATTTGATTTGTAAATCAGTGTGGATGGGCAATCTGAACAAATGCCTTTACCATTACTTTGCCAGCATTTTACTGCAAAAATATATATCTTGTTGCTCACGAGTGCCTCTCTTCTGCTAACATAAAAAGCAATATACCATGGGTGTTTATATTTTACGTGTAATAAAGAAAATTCCAGAAGTTTCAGTTGTAAAACAACACCTCCTTTCCTCTCATACTGTTGCACAAACACGTAAGGCCTTAGTTGAAAAGCAAAATAATGGAACAAAAAGTTTCAGGAAATTTCAGTTGAAAATTGTGTCCCATAAGAATGGTTCTGCATGGTTAACATGTAGAACAAACATGGAGAACTAGCACTTAAATCTAAAGAAATCCAAAGTGAGCTTCACAAAATTTAATCTCACCTGTGGACTAAGCCCAACACTAAGAGTGTTCTTCCATGCCTGCTCACGAGCTCTGTTAATTTGGTCACGCTAAAGAAAATAAAGTTGACATGTTTTGAATATTCCATCAATATTTGGATAGCTTCCACACAGTACTATATAAGGGGAAACATACAAGCGAGAGCTGTAATTCTTTTCATGTACATTTAGTGTGTACCTTTAACATGTCTAGTTTTTGCAATCTCAATTTTAGAAGAAAAACTAAAGAGCAAATGAATGAGCAAATAACAAAACTGTGGGATTAGCTTCTGGTCTTAGCAAATTGCCCAGATCTTAATTTTTATTGTGAACTATCGTGAATGATCTTTTCATTGATTCATAACTTATAGTTTGATTACCTGTTGACGTTCCCATCTTTGCTGCTGAACCTTCTTCATGTGATCCTGGTACATCTGCTCCTGCAATGACACCATCAAAAGAATACAGACTTTCCACAATCCACTTTTTTAATAATATCTAAATAATTCATGAATATGTGAAGGTGAATTAATCACATGACACAAGCATGGGACAAAGAAAAATTCTAAGTCCCCGACAGGAATCAAACCCATGACCTCCCGAACACCGGGCAGGTGCTCTATCCACTGAGCTACGAGAACTCATGGAGAGCAAGGCCATTTAAATGAGTTCATATATGATAGGTGTCCTGCATACTGCTAGGATCAAAGCTATCGAAGTCATCGTGAGTAGTGATAAGTTAATAAAGATGGTGAATTTTAAGCTCGGTAATGAAATGTGAAGGTGAATTAATCACATGACATGAGCATGGGACAAAGAAAAATTCTAAGTCCCCGACAGGAATCAAACCCATGACCTCCCGAACACCGGGCGGGCACTCTATCCACTGAGCTACGAGAACTCATGGAGAGCAAGGCCATTTAACTGAGTTCATATATGACAGGTGTCCTGCATACTGCTAGAATCAATGCTATTGAAGTCATTGTGAGTAGTGATAAGTTAATAAAGATTTAAATTGATAAAGATTTAATTCAAATTATGGATAGCTGGAAGAAGGGAGGTGTGGATGGTGAGCCATCAGTGTCACTCCCCCCTCCCCCTGCAGTACAGCTGTAGGTACTGATGATCAACTCAAAACTAGATCCTCAATGTTTACATGAATCAAGAATCCTGTAACAAGGCAGCTTTAATTTTTGAGTTTCGAGGGAAAAGGGATTTTAAGGAGATGATTTATCTCTTGAATACAGAACAAAAGCAACAATCTGAGTACCACCCTTTGCATAGTTTCCTTTACTCATGCAAGTGTAGGTTGAATATCTACCTGATTCTGTGCCATTTCTTTACGTCTTCTTTCACGAGCGTCCAGTTCTTTTTTCTTGTCATTAGGTTTCTCCTGTGCAGCACTGCTTGGCCTGGAAGGTTTTTTGCCAGCTTCTCCAGAGTTGGGCCTCCTAAAAATAAAAAGACAATGTAGTCTTCTAGTAAGTACAGTGTACTTCTAATATTAAGTCCACTGTTTTACATTTACCACACTGAAAACTTAAAAGTTCTAACATTTGTTTTGTTCTCTTTTAACTAATTGTATGTGGCAAGCATGTTTTGCTGCTGGAGTACACACACTTAAAATGGTTCCTGCAATATTTGCCATTTCTGTTTGTAAAACTGCAGCTAAGCAATGTAATAGCATTAAAAACAGTTTCACATAGTTACTTGCACTCACTTTGCTGGAGGCTTCTTTTTTGCAACAGACACTCCGTACTTGGCTTTTGGCTTGCTGTACTTTTGTGGTGCTGAAAAATATACACATGACTTGTACACATAGAAACAAACATCATCAATAAAATTTAGAAAGTGAAGAGTGAAGTCTACATACGAGCCAAGTGGCCCATCAGGCCGGAGCTTATCCCGGTTTCTGTAGCACTAAGTGACAAGGAGTATTTCTACTCCCACCTGGATGGGATGTTTGTCCATCTCAGGGTTACATCCAGCATTAAATTCATCACTACCCAATGATACACTTGGGATGAGAAAGGCACTGTCAGAGCAAAGTGTCTTGCCCAACAACACAACACAATTTCCAGGGCCAGGCCTCAAACCTGGACCGCTCGATCTGGAGTTCAGCACACTAACCATGAGGCCACCATGCCTCTACACAAAACCACATATTAAATGACAACAAGAAGACAAGACATGATTTCTAGGGCACGACATTATTTAAAAAGTGCGTCATTGGAAAACTGACCTGGAGCTGGCTTGACAGGCTGTTTGGGAGGCATTCTTTGCTGGCCGAACACACCCAAGGGTTTATGATGGATTACTGTGTGACTGAACTCTTCCGCCATAACCTGCAGGAAAGATACAAATGAAGTGACACTGATTAGTTTGTCATCATTATTGATGACAATACTGTGGGCATGGCTCAGTTGAGAATGTCAGGGGGGGATGGGTGATGTTGTAATCAGAAAGTTTTTTGGCAGTAAATATCTACATGTAACAATAAACATACTTTGAAAACTTCGACAACAAAGCCACAAAAACTCTGCAGACAATATTGACACTTAACATGAAGGGTTAAGTTACTCCTGAACCAACAACTGACCTCTTGCGACAAAAACTTCTCAATTCTCTTCTGAATGAATGGTTTCTTTAGGATGGAGTTAACGGATGGACGATCACTGCAAAATGCCACAAAAAATCACAGGAAAGATGTTAAAAAATAATGAATTTTAATTTTGGGTGGTAAACAATATTTTACAAATGAGCGCAGCAGGTGAGTAAAATATTAAACGAAACAATTATTCTTGTCACAAGGTCTGAAAAATTTGTAAACGAAGCTTTTGACCGTATCACTTCATTTACAAATTTTTCAGAAATTGTGAAAAGAATAATTGTTTCGTTTATTTATACACCAAGGTCAAGAATGAGCGTACATAGTCATTGAGTAAAATATTGTTTTTTTTTTCTCAACATTAAATTTACCTAAAGTATACCTGTATCCATTTCTACACCTACGAGAAGAGAGGCAATGTGAGAATTACACTGTAGCTTTGTGCTCAGGAACATTAAACTCGTCAACAAACAATGAGCTTAAGGAATGGTGCCTGAAAGGATGGTGAAGCCTGAGGGCAAACTAAACCAAGTGCATAGGGTATCCATGACAACCCTGTGAGCAGCAACCACCAGGAACTTAGCCTAAATGACATTTAGCCCCATTAACCAAGGCTCAAAACCCAGACTACTCAATCTGAAGTCCACCAAGCCAACCAGTGGACCACCATGTCTCTTGCATGCTACAAGCCAAAAGCCTTTTCTGATGATACTGCAATTACTTACTGTGCATTTCGTTTCAGCAATTGTGCAACCAAGCCTCTAATGTCTGCACTATACTTGTAAGGGATAGGTGGGTATGAACCCCTGATAAAAAAGAACAAATTCAAGATTTATTATATTCTTCATAAATAAGTATTCTACATTAAAAACACAGGAAAATGACTACAAGCAGCTAAAGTGTGAACACTATTTTTTAATGTCAAAATCTGTTTTGGACATACAGGTCTTACCTTATTATTTTCAAAACCAAATTTTTCATATTTCCTGCTTCAAACTGCATGAAAAAAACAAACAAACACATAGTTAATAAACAAGGAAAAAAGTTGCTCTCCAACTGGTGACTAAGAAAATGATCACAATGTTTCAGTTTGGAAGAAAAGTGAATACAAGACTCGAGACAGTCATTTTCTCGATCTAACGGCTGGAGTGGAGGTTTGCACACATTTTCACTACACAGAAAAAGGTGTCTGGCTGAAATGAATATAATGTTACATATAAGTGGTTACATTACTTACAGCATGTTTGAGGGTCAAAAGTTCATAGAGAACACATCCAAGGGACCAGATGTCACTAAGCAAACAAATAAAACAATATTATTATCTATTCAATTAATACATGACTTTATTATATGGCTGTGTCTCACAAGGACTGGGAACTACTGAATTCACAAATTTGATTGGCTGAAATCGATATTGACCGCGGTCTAGATTTTCCTATCTACACCGGCATCCAGACCGGTTTCATTTTGCATTGAAAAAGTAGCAAACTAAAACACAAAAATGTTCACCATTTTCTTTTATTTTCTTCTGAATCATTTATGGAAGTGCCAGAAAGTCTGATGACAAAAAAAAAATGTAAAGAGGACGAGCAAATTTCGGCAGGTTTAAGTTAAGCTCATTGCCGTTCGCAAGCAAAATGTCAGCAAACCAGTTACATTAAATGAATTTGAAAGTTTTCTTCTTTGCCATATAATAAACATCTTATTAACCGAACTAAGTCCGTCATTATGGGAGAATCTTGACCTCGGTCGTGTGTACAGACCTCACTGCGTTCAGTCTGTACTCACGACCTCGGTCAAGATTCTCCCATACAGACCTCCTGCTCGGTTAATAAGAGCTAAGTATACACTGTGTGTGGTACCACTACATGTATTTACTGATCATAATTATCATGATGACATTGAACCTACTGTCAGTGCATGTAAAAATGACTAACTAAAGATTAGTAGCTTGGATTTGGTTAATAAATGTCACTTAACTTGAAGGTCTACAAAACAAATAATACCAGAAATCAAGACATTATATGGACTTGCTCTAACTTCTATCATACTTAATCCCATCAGGGTGCAAAGAAAACCAATTTGCGAGCTTGCCCTTTGAGCAAGCTGTAACTATGATGTACACCTAGCAGCTTGAAAGTTATTCTCAGTAGAACATGTAGCCACAAAAAAACTCCATCTCTTACAGTACTCCAGACTGTAAGTTGAATTATTTTCTCAACAATTTTCCCAGGAAACTCAACTTGCCTGACAGGCAAGTGAAGGACAGAATCACCCAACTGCAAAATAGATTCACCCCAGACTATCGGACATGGCTATCTTTGCAAGCTGCCCATACAGGTAGTCATAGATCTAACTTACATATACATGTAATAATAACGGTTTGGTATGTCTTTCATGCAATGTACAACAAGAAAAGTAGTTGACAAACCTCTTATTATTGTAAGGTCTGTTTTCGCATATTTCTGGAGACAAGTAATACGGAGTACCAATACAAGTACGAGCTAGTTCCACAGTGCTGAAAATTCAAGAATAGTGAATTGTAAAGTAAAACCTTTAACTGCATTTCCTCAACTAATGCTCCTCCACTACTATAAGTACCCTTTTAGAAATGTTTGCAAAGAAAACCCCAGTCCTTTTCCTAAACTATGTCAGAAAGAATGTATTGAATATTAATTTATTGCCCCATTTCACCAAGTAATATTTACCTGAGGGTAATTGAAATTTACTGGCCCACTGGGCAAGTGGATTTCAATTTTTCCCCCACCACCAGATGTATATTTTAATCATTAATCACAGCAAATGATAATAAAATAATAAAACTGATCACCTGTGTAAAACTCTTGCAATTCCAAAATCTCCTAACTTGACTATTCCATTCTTTGTTAAAAATATGTTCTATAAAATACAAAACATATTAAAAACGTTACAGTTACAAAATTTTATTTACAACTTCTACAATTAATTGAAGAAAAAGCAACTGACAGTGTACAAATATGTATATAGTACATAGGTGTACAGTAATTTTAATAAGTACATGTACATATTGAAATGTAACTATGTAGACTGCTCTTGTAAATTTTTCAAATGAATCGGAAATAATTGATCCATGAATGTTAATTAATAATTAAAAACAAACCTGTGATTTTAAATCTCTGTGAAGGATTTTTCTATCATGAACATGTTTCAATGCCAGGCATATCTGTACAAAGTAGTCCAAAACCTGGAATAAAGCAGTCAAATTAATGATTCTGCAGTTTGATGTAAATCTCCCCTAACAGACACTTGAGACTGCACCATATCAACTGACATCATTACAGCCCAAAGTTTTCTGGCTGCCATGTTTCAGAGGGAGGAGTTATCAAACTTGTTTTCTTTCAACCAACATGGGAAGGATTTTCTTTTGAGAAGCATTTTATTGACAGTGCATTAAATAAAAAAGTGATAACTTCAAATAGAATGCAATTTGTTGTTTAATTTTTTGATTTTCAAGCAGAACCAGGTCATGTAGAAGGTTTTTGTTAACCTTTTGCTGTGGCGTTTGAGCATACATCATCTCACAGGTGAACCAAGAAGTCAGTGTTTTACTGTTGTTGGCAGTTCAATAAATACAAGCCATACTTTATATACTTAAAAGTAAACTACATGTATTAGACTGAAAAACCATACTGAGTACTTAAAATGCACTTGAGGGCTTAATTTACTGTATTTACATATACTGTTTAATTACTACACTTACCTGTTCTTCTGGAAGCTGTATTCCACGTTGGTTATTAATCCTTTTATACAAGTCACCTGAAGATCAGTTTGACAAAAAATCAATTCCACAGACATAAACTGTGTATATTGGCTGTGTGTTTTTCTCCTGCATTTTTTGGAATAACTACGAAAATGGACCATGTATGGTAATTATGGGGCCAAAATTCCTGGCAAGCAGTAAAATTAATTTCTGAAGTTGTTTACATGTACATGTAAGTTTGAAAATTTTACAACGACTGCGAAAAATATCAATAATCATTAAAGTCTAAGAATATGTAATTTCCCCAAACATTTGTCTAAGTTACAACTGGGAGAAAACCACATAATTCATGAATGACACAAGGTGTGGAAAACTGTGATTTGCATTGATTGTGCATTAAATGGAGTAAACATTTAATATACCATTTTAATATTTAGCAATATAATTACAACATCCAGATGCATTATAGTTACCTGCTTCGCAATAATCCATAACAATATAAAGGTTTCCATTTTCTGATAGAAATAAAACAAAAAGAATGGTTATTACAAATATGAATTCTGGAAACATGGTGTATAAATTTCAATGCTCATAACATTCATTTAATTCTGATTGCCTTTTTAGTCTTAGTGCGACTTCCTGGTGAGTCATTATTTTAACACAAGGCAAGTTCTGTAGAGACATACACATGTGTAGTACTTCAAGAAAGCATACATGTATGTCTCCATTCACACACACATGACATGATTCACCCTTTTTATGAATCATGTCATGTGGCCTTGTCAATCATAAAATATGGTTGTGGTAAGAAATAGATACCAGAAAAGAGCATAGAAATAATGTGATGAAATCGCATTACTATGATTTCAAATTTTGAGGCCACTTCATTTTGGCATCTACTTCATACAACCATTTATTTGTTTTATTATTTACAGGATCTCATGTCACAGTCATGTAAAAGACCTATTCTTCCATTGCTAAAGATACGTGTATCTCTGATATTCAACCTGAAAAATCAACACCCAATCAGACACTGCTTGGACCTGTGATGTCTTTTGAGCAGGAGAAATGAGTTGCAAAGGGAGACATCTGCTTATATAACTTAGGCAGACAGAAAAAGTGAAGCCTACATGTACATGTAAGTGTCTATTCACTTTGGCAATAAATTCTTACCTTCAAATGACTCTTGATAGGACACAATGTTTGGGTGTTTTAACTGGGCCAAAACCTTCACCTATGAAGAGCAAAAAGGCTGTGTTGATAACATGTACCAGTATATTTTTTTGGTTAAAAATCCTTGCAATGCAATTGAAAAATTGAGCAGGTTCTGATTGGCAAAGAGAAATTACAGGAGATCTGGAGAAATTCAGCACAGAAAAAGCAAATTCAGTGCAAATAACAACCAAGATGGGGAATATTGCCTTCATCAGTTTTATAAGGACCACACTGTGCTTGGTCCGTACATAGTTAATAGTCTCCTCTACTAATTATGGTCTGTACTGCCATGAACTTGGGCCAATATTCCCCGGTAGGGCCTTGCACTCAATTAGTGATCTTGAGGTTATCAGATTTTTCAAAGACTGTTAACTATAAATTGCAACAACTTTCAGACTTGTACAAGTATTTGGAAATCTTTACTTCATTTGTACATGTATTTGCTTGAATTTATTTATTCCAAATTGAACTCAAAATCATGTGATTACTTTTAAAAACGAGTTTGATTTACATAATCAGAACAGGGTCATAACCATGACATGTTCTGATTGGCACAAAGCAGTGGTGTGCAATATGAACCTGGGAGGGAGTGGGGAAAGGTTGCAGTCAGACTCATCTGAGCATTCCCCTGCAGAATTTTACTGAATCAAATGCTTTTAAAAATTCATTTTCAACTAAGCACTAGTAAGTTATTTTTACTTTTTCATACACTTAAGCCTATTCGATGATGGAAACATAAAAATTTACGGGCAAGTTGAGTTTCTTCATATACATGTAGAACCTTGGAATCAGTAAAAGCCTATGCACATGTATGCAAGCTTGAGTACTGTCCATGTAAACAAACCCCATTTTTAATCTAATCTGGTGTGGTAAACCGAAAAACAAAACAAAAATAGCTATCGCATATTTTAACTGTACGTTTAAAACAGTGATTTCATGTACGAAAAATATAAGTAATCGCGAAAATTTTGCAGAAATCTACATTAATTCCTACATGTACGCAAGCTTTAATCGGTTCTTACATGTACTGTACTAGTGTTCACTGTTGTGTTTGTTTGTCGTAAAATGAAGTAACAAAACTTATTAAAATAGCAGAGAGGTATTTTCTGGAGTCTGTAATGTTACCTCTTTTCTGGATTCTTCTCTTTCTTTAGGAGACATCTGCACAACAAAAACATTGAGCGGAAGTTGAGTTTCAAACGCTCAGCTTACAAACTAAAAATGTAAATTTTGGCATCGATCGATCTGCATCAAAATTAAACTATCCTCGTCTGGGAGAAACTTGGACTGCAAATCTTTAGCACGACACACCTTTGAAATGCTGATCTCCTTGATAACATACTGTTTTCCATCGGTCTTTTTCTTTACCAACAACGCTTTTCCAAACGAACCTTCGCCGATCTTCTTCACACGCACGTAACGATCCATTTCTGTGGATCTATTTCCTCCTAAAGCTTATTTTCCCCGAAGCAGCGAAACTTTATCAGCATTTCTACCGGATTATTAAAAGGTAATGCAGGGTTTCGTGAAATCTATAACGGTAACTAACACAACGTATCGAAGGAAAAGTTTAGAAAATGGCGCCGGAAAAGAAATCTCGTTGAGTGTGAGCCTGCGTAAAGTGAAAATACGGTCCGCGAATTGTCAATGAGAGCGTGCGCAAAAGGCTGGTATGGAAAACTGAAACTTGAATGGACTTCTGAATACAGGAAAATGCAGAGGTGATGGATACAGTGTGTTTGGAATCCATAGCAAACAAATTACCGCCAGTATAAAAGAGAAATTCGTCAACTCTGTGGACAGGCCATGTACTCCGTAAGGTAACTCATAGCCGGTGAAAGGAGGAAAAAGGAATTTCATCAAATTCCAAATTCAGAAACGTCAATGGTTTACTTGGCTCAAAAATGGAGTTTTATTGTCACAAATTCAGATACATGTAAAAGTTTATTCTTTCCTTCAGTCCCTTTGATGCATAACAAGATGAAAGTATTTAACATGAAACTTGAAACTCCGTCCTGTAAGCCAAATCAGTAGAAAGTCAGTCAGATTCCCAATCTCTTGAATCAACATTAGGCGCATTGTTATAAATTGGCAAGCCGCCATGTCTGTTCTGGTAATCTTCTAGCAAATAATACACTATTTCCGGCGGATTTAGGCATGTCATCCATCGTACAGCAATGTTTTTCCATCGTTTTTTTCCTGGTCCGCTGAGATATCGACCAATCGGAAGACCGTCATTCCCACTAAAATGAGCGTTAAGACAGTCCCGAATGTTGCTGAAATAAGGGTTGCCTCCAATGTAGATAATCTGTGGAAGAACGGAAAGTATAGTAAGTATATAGTGATAGTATATTTTAATCTTGATGTAATCTGGATTTTAAACTGGTAACAGAAGCCACGGTTTGCGCATTTTGAAAATTTTAGCCTAAATTTTTCAAGTATTTAGTTCGTCGTTTGTAATCCGTGTTAATCTTCTCCATTTGTTTCTTTATGCTTTATTATTATCATCTGTTTGGTGTTTTTCTATATTAGTTAACTATTATTTTTAGGTTTCCTTCAATTTAAAGGTGACTTTTTTGCGTGAGACTGAGCTCATTAAGAACTGGAGAAAGGAACAAACAAGAAACAAACAAACAAAGAAGAAAAGAATTAGGCAAGCAAGCAAGAGAAAAAGAGAATAGAATTGTCCTCAGCACATGCAGTTATTACAGCAAAAAGATAAATGCAAAAACGGCGAACAGCTAGATAACGGGTTGTATCAGGTTACATAGTCATCAAATCGACTTAGGCCAGCAAAATTTTGAAACAAATCGGTCATCTGGAAAAAAAATATTAAAGTTCTCTTCGCGGTCGGCTCCGGCCAATGGGCGACTTCGGTTGCGGCGAGCTCAATATACAAGGTTGTCGATATTACCTCCCATTATTTCATTGCAAGCTTTCAATGTTTATCACTGAATTTTCGAATCATACTTGAAATAAAGTAATAAAGTAAAACGCAATTAAACCCTTTATTCAATTCTCAAAGCTGAGAAATCTAGAAATATATGCACTCTAATTTATCTGAGTAGCCAAAATTATGTTGCGAGCGTGGCCATGTTTTTCGGTGGATTAAAACATCAGAGACAGCAACTGGAACTCAAGTTTTATTCGTACACGACGAAAACTTCTACATCACAACATGGACTCGTGTAACAACTCAATATGGTGCAATACAGAGCCTCAACCTGGTGTTTAGCTTACAACTACTTCCGGTCTACATAAAACACTACCGGTTTACATAAGTTAAGTTTGTATCTTAACAATCATAAAGTGAAGTTTATATGAAATAATTCATATATGAACTGCGGTTGTAGATGAAAGTGAAGAATGATCATCGCAGTAAATTTTCCAATTTAAGTAATTGGAAAG